TCGTTCCGCCCCATCCTGTACCTGTGACAACACCGCGCCCAGCCCGCTGCTGCAGGCGTCGGTGTCCAAATAAAATCGGTGGTTAAAATCGGGGGAAAGCGAGGGTGGGGGCGTGGTGAGTGAGGTGGTCTTTGAGAGTGGTGAAGGCCGTCTGGCAGGCCCCCGTCCACTGGTAGGGGTGCTTAGGGGAGGTGGAGTTGGGTGAGGGGGGCGTGCAATCTCGCTGAATCCCTTTACAAATCGACGATAATAGGTGGCGAGCCCCAAAAATGATCTGATCTCCGTCAGATTCCTGTGGCCGTGGCCACTCCACTACGGCGCGTACCTTCTCGGATCGTGAGCACGCTGCCTCGCTGACGCGATGCCCGAGGTACCCCACCTCGCGTTGTGCGATGTAACACTTACGTGGCTTGAGCTTGAGATGAGCCGCTCGCAGCGCTGGAACACCTCTCGAAGCCTGGACCCAATGCTCAGACAAAGATCTACTGAACACTATCACATCGTCCCAAGTAAATCAGGCACTGTTCCCACTGCAAGCCCCGCATCACCAACTCCATCAACCGCTGGAACGTCGCGGGCGCGTTAGTGAGTCCGAACGGCAACACTCGAAACTCAAACAGGCCCATCGGGGTGGTGAATGCTGTTTTTGGCCGATCCTCCTCCGTCATCTCCACCTGCCAGTATACGGACGCCAGATCGAGGGTGGAAAAATACCGCGCTCCTGCGAGACTGTCGAAGGTGTCGTCGATGCGGGGTATGGGGAAGGCATCGCCGAGCGTGACTGCTTTAGTTTACGGTAATCGACGCAGAACCGGGTTTGACCCATCCTTTTTCGTTACTAGTACCACCGGGGCTGACCAGGGGCTCGCCGAGGGCTGAATTATGTTATCGCGAAGCATGTCCCCAACTGCCTCTTTGATTTGGTCGCGTTCGGAGTGCGCCCACTCGGTACGCAGGGAGTTTGATGGGTCGGGGCTGCACCGGTGTCAATTTGGTGCTTAACAAGATCGGTCCGACCCACGTCCGAGTCGTGTTCACTGAATACGTCGGCATACTCCCGCAGTAACTCGCGCAGCCGATCGGCCCCTCCCTTAGGTAAATCCGCCCATGGTACATGTAACGCGTCGAGCAGGGGAACGACCTCGGCTCGGGGAGTCGGGCCGACTCGCCAGGCCAGGTCCTGGTCACCCTCCGAACGACCGGGGTCCTCAGCCCAGAGTGCGAACACCGATTCGTCAGTAGAGTGGCGTGCGTGCAGGGGGTGTACAGTGGCGATCGGTGTGCGCCGTCGCAGTATCGCTGGGGTATTGTGCGGGTTAAACATCCGCATAAACAATCGGTCCCCATCTGCGTTTACCAACGTGGCGGATCCCACGACCCCCATATCGTTTTGCCAACTCCGGGTGAGGAGTTAGCATTACCTCCCCTGATTGGTCGGAGCGCGGGGTCGGTGGGGGATGTTGCCACCGGCACCAGCATCTCGGTGAGCGGGTCCGATGGTGACTGCCGTCGCCAGGATAGCGGCCACAGGTGCGAAGCGGGGGCGCGTCGGTTCTCGTCCCAGGAACGGTATCCGCTCGCCGTTGCTCTCCACGGTGGCGCATCGCTGGCGGGGTTGCACGTTGAGTCCCAGCCGTTCTAAGAGGTCGGTACCTGCGATACACTCGTGACACAACGCACTCGACACGTAGAACTCCTGGGTGCACACCTGGCTGCCTATGCGGACTTCTAAGGTGGCTCTCCCCAGCAGCCCCATTCCGGCTCCGCTCGCCGTGTGCAGCGCGCGGTCCGGTGCCTGCAGGTGACGCACGTCGACCCCCCGATCGCGCTGCAGTGCGCTGCGCTCACGAGCGAGGCCACCGCCCCCGTGTCCAGCAGGATTCGGGTACGCACTCCGTTTACCTCCCCTTCCACCAGCGACGTGGCCCCCGTGATCCCCGCCACCAGCTCCCGCAGCCAGTCGCCAGGAGTCACCGTTTCTGTGGGCGTTGTTGCTGGAACCTGTGTGGAGATCACTCGCTCGCCATTATTCTCACAGCTTGTTTGTGTCGGGGCTACGTCGATTTCGCCCCCCGGTGGTCCCCTCTCTAGGGGGGCCTTAGTGTTTGACCTTAGCTCTTGTCTAGCTCGGGCGACCTGAGGACAGTCCCTCACCAGATGCCCTCGGCGATCGCACATATAACATGCCCGGGGAGGGGTGGCGGCTCCGTAATGGGCTCTCTGCCCACTCCCTCCTCCCCCAGTGCGCTGCTGCTCATACTCTGCTTCTAGTCGCGCTATCCTTCCAGTTAGCCCCTCCTACCGTGGAGTCTAGTTCCCCCATCTCGGATCGGATGGTCTCAACGGAGGATTGCAGTTTGGGTCATATTTTTATTTGCTTCCTCGCGTACCTGGGTTACCCTTTCACCTACTTGGGTATCATATCTCCCATACCGGCCTGTAACCCGGCTACCCACCCCGGGGTGTCTCGCTGGGTCCTCTGTGGCTCTCTTTCCCGGCCCCTTACCGTCCTCGCGAGCTCCTGTTTCCTCCTCCTCGTCTTCCGAGAGCAGGCTCGCATATGGTGCGCTCTTGTCCCCAGCCCCCGGAGCTGCGCGCGTTCGCTGTGAATTCTTTCACACTTACGTGCGCGCTCGACAAGGGTGTTAAGGAGACGTGGGCAGCTCACGTCTGGCTGCCACCACGCCGTGCGAGACAGGTACCGCTGGATTTTCTCGGCGGCCAGTTCCTCAATAACATCAGTTGCGTACCCCGGGCGTGCGATCTTTGTTAACTCGCGCACATCCTCGGCGTAATCACGTAGATCTTCGCCAGGTTGGCGACGGCGCGCCTCTAAGGCCGATTTTGCTTCCTCCTCGTCACTGCGTGCCAAAAACGCTGATCGAGTCGGCGCATCAGCTCCTCTAGCTGTGTCTGTGCGCTCGCGGGTAACGCTTCTACAAAATCGGCTGCCCGCCCATCAAGATTCATATTAAGTTGACGTACTGCCTGCGCGTCCGTCCATACCATTAATTTCCTTGGCCCCTAAGAGATTGCGGGCGAATGCCTTCCACGAAGGGGCCCCCCGGCCGGTAATATTAGTCTTATTTTAGCGTGAGGTAACGCGGGGGTCCGTACCGCTTCCGACACCAATTTGTGGGGGCCGTCGGCCCCCGGGGTCCCTCCCGCCTGCATCCCCTATTCGTTTACGTTACCCCCACCTCCCTATTACCCGCTACGGTTTCGCCGGCATTCGAACGCGACGCCCCTACGGTTACAGCCTCGCGCCGCGCTCCCACGCTGCGAGCATACGTGCGCACATCATCGTCGATCAAACGCCGTGCTCGCAGTATAGCCCTGTGCGGCACGTTCCCAATGCGCATCCGTATTATACACGTAGTGAACGTGCGCGCACACACGCATACAGCTCCACACGCGATACCCACTCTTGCGCCGCTCTGCGCAGCGCTCGCCGCCTGCTGGCCGCTCACGTTATGAGCGCGCACCTGGGGGGACGCCGATTACGCACGCACGCCCACACACACGCCGCTCCGCGCACTCCAACTCAACTCACGTTATACTCGCGCACCTGTATCACACACGGGAGTGAACACACGCGACACCCACTCTCGCACCGCTCTGCGCAGCGCTCCCCGAGGCGAGCCGCAGCACCACAGAATCACTGCGTACCCACGCGCTCACACTGCACGACAAGATCACGCGAGACCACGCTTCGCTATTAATGATTTATTATATGCCACCTTGCGAATTGATGTTGAATCAGTGAGTCGACGAGGCGGCCCATTCCACTAAACCTGTACCTATTCCCTATTTATCGGCTTACGATACCCTACTTCACCTCCCCACTCACTGTTTGGTGCCCGCGGAGGTTCGCTGCTCTCTGCGCTAACAGCGTACCTCGATGCGTCGCACGGACGTCCGGGTCGCTGGCTGGAACTCCTGCTGGTCCGCTGGCCTGGAGAGAAGAGACCGATTTCCCCTCTGCCGCTCCTCTATTTATCCTCCCTACCTCCAAAGGGGATGCTGCGCTGAACAATGGGCTCGTGCACCCCAAGCCCGCGCACGGCAGTCCCCAGGCGCTGTTGATATGCTAATCAGTGAGCGACGTTGGCGGCGTACATCCTAATTACTCCCTTACCCTTCCTAACAATGGGGCCTGCGCGCTCAAGCGCAATTATCCCAACCCCCCATGACTATGCGCAACAGCCCCTGTGACCCCGCTATTCATGCTGTCTCGTGCCTCCCCTGCTTGCCCCGTCGACTCGTGGGGGTGTGTGTGGGGGGAAATGCGCCTCAACCGCGGTGGCCGAATGCCCCACGCCGCGACCACACCATATTAAGGCCGGCAGCAGCGCCGCGGTACCACGTAGCACGGGGGAGGTCATCCAATTCCCTGATCGCCGGAAACCGTGAGAATTAATCCCGATAAGGGTCTCTCGGATAAAAACCGGTCGATCAGGTAACCTTCCCTTCCAGCTCTATGGGGGGGGGGGGGGATGCGGGTGGGGGTGTGCTTATGGGGGGGGGGGGGGGGGGGGCGGTGCGGGGGGGGAAGCCGGGCGGCTCCCTGGCTCGGCAGAGCGGCCCCGTCGCTGTGGCACCACATACTCATTTGTGTGAGTGTACTCCGTGAGCGTACTCTGCGTGCGTGAGTTCGATTCCAACCCTGACGCATTTATAATTGCAGTTTACATTTTTATTTTTTCTCTCTCTCCCTGTAGTGGCATTGATTTTTCTCCACATTTAGAAACATGCATTTTGAGAATTTTGCTGCAATACATTTCCATATTTAACCCACTAAGTTGAGCTATCATTTGTGTCCAGGTCGATTCTGAAAAAGAGCTATGCAGCTCAGATGGCCTCACCTGGTAAAATAAAAATAGTGTACTGTGTTTGAGGGTTTCCAATTTAATTTCTTATTTAGCAGTTAAAGATTATGTTTCAGGAGGGTCCTGCATTGGACTGTTTAACCACCTCCAAATATATTTTGAGTTTAGGTTTGGGAGAAAAACGGAAAACCCATTGGAACACCAATGCCGACGGTGACGGCCGACGCCAGGATAGCGGCCACGGGCTCGAAGCGGGGGCAACCCGGCTCTTGTCCCAAGAAAGGAATCTGCTCCCCGCTGCCCTCCACGGTGGCGCATCGCCGGCGGGGCTGCACGCTGAGCCCCAACTTTTCCAGGAGGTCGGTACCAGCAATACACTCGTGGCATAACACGCTCGACACGTATAACTCCTGGTTACTCACCTGGTGTCCGAGGCGACCCTTAAGGGTGACCCTCCCCAGCAGTCTCATCCCACTTCCACTTGCAGTGTGCAGCGCACGATCCGGGGCCTGTCGGCGGCCCACTTCAACCCCGACCACGCTGCAATGTGTTGCACTCACGAGTGACATTACCGCCCCACGTGTCCAGCAGAATCCGGGTTTGCCGCCTGTTCACCTGCCCTTCCACGAGCGACGTGGCCCCCATTATTCCTGCCACCAGCTCCCGCAGCCAGTCACCCGCAGTCGCCACATTCTGGGATGTTGTTGTCAATATCTGCGTGGGGGTCATTCGTCACCATTATCATGACAGTTTATTTGTGTTGGGACCACGTGGATTGCACCTCTCTGTGGTCCCCTCTTTAGGGAGGCCTTGGTGTTTAACCCTGGTGCTTCTCTCGCGCGGCTATCTGGGGACTGTCTCTCACGAGATGCCCCCATTGGTCGCATAGATAGCACGCACGGGGAAGGGCGGTGGCTCCATAAGAGGCCCCTTTCCCACTCCCCCTTACCCTCCCAGTGCGCATTTGTTCGAGTTCTGCCTCTTATTGAGATACTCGCCTGGTTAGCCCCCCGACCATGGAGCGCAGCCCTCCCACCTCGGACTGGACTATCTCCGCTGTGGACTACAGCTTGGTCACATTCAGGTGTACTTGGGTTACCTCCTCACGTACTTGGGTTGCATGGCCTGTGGTCTCCTATGCCGGTCTGTATCCCTGCCACCCATCCTGGGGTTGTCTCACGGGGTCCTGGAGGCTCCCTCGTCCCCCCCCCCCCCCTCTCACCGTTCTCGCGAGCTTCTCCTCTGGAAGAAGACTTGCAATGGTGTGCTCCTGTTCCAGCCGTCAGAAATGCGCACGCTCGCGAGCAAATCTCTCACACACGTGCGCGTGCTCGGCAAGGGTGTTAGATGGGGGATATGGGCAGTTCGCATCTGGCTGCCACCACGTTGTGCTTGTCAGATACTGCTGAACTTTCTCGGCGGCGAGGTCATCGATGATCTCGGCAGTGTATCCCAGGCGTACGCTCTGTGTTAGCAAGCGTGATTTATTTTAGTATCCGCTCACTGAGATCTGAAGTGAGAAGTTCACATCGTGGTTATTGTTGTCGTGGTGGTAGTTGTTGTTTACCCAGGTAGAGCCTCGCTCCTTCTCTGTCTTGTAGGGAGGCCGCTTTGGATTGCACCACTCTTCGATTTCACATTAACATGCTAATTTATTACATTAACATCACTAGCCCCGGCCACTTCCTTATGACCCTTGGTCTACACCCATTTTAAAACCTTTTACAACAGTCTGCCTCAGCAGCAGACCATGCATTTTCTAGCAGAGTGTTTTTGTTTGCTTTCTGACCACAAGTATTGTGGTTAATGCACACATGATTCCTTATTTGGAATACAGTACAGTACTTATTTCAATTGTGATGTTTATTTTAGTTGCCGTTAACCTACCCCCATTATTTAGGTAATGCTTAAGTATAATGATGTATTTTGAGAAGCTCACAATGGCCCTATACAAAATTGCATTTCATACAGTAACAATGATACGCTAATCGATGCCTGGTTATAGTCAAGGGATCGTCCCCTGCTGGTCAACCATGTTACGCATGTTGATGATCTGGTCATGGCTACTCAATGATATTGAGTTGGAGAATCGTGTTCTATACCTGGAGAATTCCATGACGAAATGGGGCCTTGCATATGTTCTACAAAAAGATCACCTCCCTGGGAAAATCTTGACTTAAAGCTTTCGTAACTGCAGGAATTCATATTCTTTGGGTCTTTCGGTTAAGTGACGTGACTTTACCGAAAGACCCAAAGAATACCTCCCTGGGAATTTAATGTCATACAACACTGCACCTGCTCAGCTCTCCATGAATAATCAGGACGTTCTACACGTGGTGGAGGAGCGCCTATACCAGGTTAATGTGTTCATGACCTTATTTGGCATCCAAAGTGTCACTTCAAATTAGTCTAGCAGCATTCTTTCATTAGGCTCTGTAACACTATGTGGAAGCTGCCTGGACTTTTTTACATACAAAGCTGTGAGTGTCCATCGCCAAGGTCTAGTCCATTGCAAAGGTCTCGTCAAAAAACAGGCAATAGTCTACATTATAGACTGCCAATACACTCACCGAGGTTAAGAACCAGGCTACAGTCTACATTATAGACTGCCAGTACGCTCACCCAGAGGCGTAGCTAGGGGGGGGCAGGGGGGTACATATGTCCCCGGGCGCCAAGGTAAAGGGGCGCCTAAATGAGGCTTACAACGTTACATTATCACTTATTGCGGCGGGCGCGGCAGCCTGAAACTACTGCGCAAATCTACACCTCAACCTAAAAGTTTATATATCCCGCCACACACAGCCTACATTGCATGTAATTACATTTTCTCAGGTCATAAGATTTGTGGATGTGGATTTTCAAACTAAAAAAGTAACTGTCAAAAAATCTTTTTTAGGTTATATCGAGATACATGAAAAAGATGCAGCAAGCCTAGAAAGAGTCATCGTCGAGATACTGAAATTTGACAACATACCTCTAGCCGACTGTCGGGCACAATGTTATCACAATGCTGCTGTGATGACTGGGCATATATCCGGCCTTCAACAACGAATATGTGACAAAAATCACAGAGCATTGTTTGTCAACTGTGACAACCACAGCTTAAACTTAGCAGGAGTACACTCAGCTAAACAGGATCCACTTGTCGTCACGTTTTTTGGAACAGTTGAAAGTATATATTTTTCTCTCGTTCAACAATTCATTGGGAAGAGTTAAAAAAAAAGCTGTGCCCATCACAGTAAAGCGGGAGTCTGAAACACTCTGGAGTGCACGATCAGAAGCTGTTAAAGCTCTCTATGAAGGAATGGATGAACTAGTAGGGCTGCTAGACAAATTGTCGGAGGACGTAACTATGACGCCTGAAACCAGAAGTGATGCAGAACAGTTACAGGCATGCGTATTAAATTTTTACTTCATAGTTTTATTACATTTCTGGAATGTCATTCTTGGAAAAATGTATCGTGTTCAGAAGCGCTTACAGGGTCCTACTATGCATTTCAAGGAAGCAGCAACTGATCTTGAATCTTTGAAGCATGAATTTGTCCAGCTTCGTGATGATTTGAGCCAAGTTGCTGTAAAAAACGCCAAAACAAGATGCACAGCCTGGGGGATCGATGTGGACAGAAGAATTAGGTGACGTCGGAAGATGCCGGGAGAACTGGCACAGATGTCGATGCAATTCGTCGAAATTGCACAGATTTTGGAAATTTCTATGACACCGACATCAATGGCCACAAACTTTTCACAGAATTTGGAGATTGCAAAATGCTGCTCGGTAACCGGAATTAAGTTCTACCAGAAACTCCTTTGGATCTTCTTGGTTTTATTGTGTTTTATGGAGACGACATATTTGCGAATTTCACTACAAATTTTATTAACAGTAGCAGTTTCAATTGCAAGCTGTGAGCGGTCGTTCAGCAAATTGAAACTTATTTTGTCGTATTTGCGTGCTTCAATGGGACAAGATCATCTCAGCGATCTTGCTCTTCTTAGCGTTGAAAGAAAAACATTGGAAAAAACATATTTTCATTACGTGATTGACCAGTTTGCGACAGTGAAATCAAGAAAAAATTATTTTTTGTAGACTATGTCAACCAGTCTACGACAGTGACTGAGTGAGCCATGTAATATAATTTCTATGAATTTGCTTCTTTATATACAATGTTTCATTAAAATTGTTATTCCTTATTCGATGTAATAGGAAAATGTGATTAAACGGGGGGGGGGGGGCGCCAATTTTATAGTTCGTCCCTGGGCACAAAATATCCTAGCTACGCCTCTGCGCTCACCGAGGTTAAGAACCAGGCTACAGTCTACATTAGTCGTTTTTTTTTTTCTTATATTCACTTTATTTGTGTTATTATTTTCTATCTACTTGACTTTTCCGAAATAACCAGAGAATATTAATTCCTGCAGTCACGAAAGTTTTAAGTCAAAATTTAACCACCTTTTTACCATGCAAGTGTATGAACATGTGAAGTTTGTATTTGCTGTCAAGTATATTGACTCGATTGAACATGGAGGTTAAATCATAAATATAGTTTATTTTAGTTTTGCTTTGGAAATTTTCATAAGAATGGAAACAGTCAGGAAATTAACACAGCACATATGCAGCTGAAGTTAAATCTGTTCATCCTCGCATTCAAGTTAATCTGAGCCTGGCTTCACACCTCTAAGTTGCAAATGAACAATAATTTATACATTTCTGCATAATACAAATAGTATTATTTTCAAAAGCCTTTGCTAGGTTAACAATTTTTTTCTTAAATATTCCTGTCGTAGCTAGACAACCGAAATTGTGTGCTTGGAGTTTTTGGTAAACATTAATTTTGAAGACACTAGGGTGTCCAGGCATATTTATGACCATTTGCCCTCGCATTGTGTGCCTTAACAGCCCGTGTGATGAATTGGGGAATCTCTTTCACTATATCATGAAAATATGAATATGTATAGATGTGTAAGTCATGTGTGACTGTATATATGCATTCCTCTGTGCCTCAATACTCACATAGATGGTGTGGACATGCTTTTCTGTTTGCAGCTGACGCTCTGCAGAATTGGCCTGATGGAGCAAAGGCACTCAGCGCAGTTCAGTACAAGAAGGAAACAATGCGACCAGCATGCAAACAGCACGGATCGTACTGGAAACTTGACACAGCACCAGAGAACACACACAGGAGAGAAACCATTAGAGTGCTGTGTGTGTGGGAACGCATTTTCAGATTCATCTACTCTTAAACAACACCACAGAACACACACAGGAGAGAAACCTTTTAAGTGCAGTGTGTGTGGGAAGGCGTTTGCAAAGTCATCAATTCTTAAATCACACCAGAGAACACACACAGGAGAGAAACCTTTCAAGTGCACTGTGTGTGAGAAGGCGTTTGCACTGTCATGCATTCTTAAATCACACCAGAGAACACACACAGGAGATAAACCTTACAAGTGCACTGTGTGTGAGAAGGCGTTTGCATGGTCGTTCATTCTTAAATCACACCAGAGAACACACACAGGAGAGAAACCCTTCAAGTGCACTGTGTGTGAGAAGGCATTTTCATTGTCATCATATCTTCAGACCCACCAGAGAACACACACAGGAGATAAACCTTTCAAGTGCACTCTGTGTGGGAAGGCGTTTGCATTGTCATCAAATCTTAAGATCCACCAGAGAACACACACAGGAGAGAAACCTTTTAAGTGCACTCTGTGTGGGAAGGCGTTTGCAATGTCATCAAATCTTAAGACCCACCAGAGAACACACAGGAGATAAGCCCTTCAAGTGCAGTGTGTGTGGCAAGGCATTTTTTTATTCATCTACTCTTAAACAACACCAGAGAACACACACAGGAAAGAAACCTTTCAAGTGCACTGTGTGTGAGAAGGCGTTTGCACAGTCACCACATCTTCAAAGACACCAGAGAACACACACAGGAGATAAACATTTCAAGTGCATTGTGTGTGGGAAGGCGTTTGCACAGTCATCACATCTTCAAAGACACCAGCGAACACACACAGGAGATAACCCCTTCAAGTGCAGTGTGTGTGGGAAGGCATTTTTTTATTCATCTACTCTTAAACAACACCAGAGAACACACACAGGAGAGGAACCTTTTAAGTGCACTCTGTGTGGGAAGGCGTTTGCAATGTCATCAAATCTTAAGACCCACCAGAAAACACACACAGGAGAGAAACCTTTTAAGTGCACTCTGTGTGGGAAGGCGTTTGCAAAGTCATCCACTCTTCAGACCCACCAGAGAATACACACAGGAGATAAACCCTTCAAGTGCAGTGTGTGTGAGAAGGCGTTTTCAGATTCATCTGCTCTTCGACGACACCAGAAAACACACACAGGAGAGAAGCTCTTCAAGTGCAGTGTTTGTGGGAAAGCGTTTGCACATTCATCAAATCTTAAAAAACACCAGAGAACACGCACGCATCAGAAAATCCACAAGAAGTGTAATCTGAAATCAGCTTGTGAAAGTCAATGTGCTGCAATGACCCCATTAAATTTCGATTTAAAGCTTTCGTGACTGCAGGGATTCATCTTCTTGTTTCTTTCGGTAAAGTCACGTAGAAGGGAAGTAATAAAATAATAAAAATAAAACATAATAAAACAATTCTCACGACGTTTCGGCTACAACGCAAGCAGCCGTCTTCAGGTGAAGAATGAGACACTACCAAACTAGGAGCTTATATATAAGCTGCATTGGGGGTTGAAGAGCGCCTTAACAAAAAGAATGTGCATGTGAAGAGGGATTTAGCATATTCATGGAAAATGCGTAGGCGTTGGGCGGGGGGGTGTCAAAGTCATATTATGCCCATGCATTATGCAGGATCAGCAGCAACCAAGGGGGGTGCAGGGATTAGCAGTAACAAAGGAAGGAATGTTAATGATATGTAGCTGCAGTTACTCAACAACCACGTAGAAAACTAAAGTATAAACTACATAAAAAAACTAAAGTATAAACTGCATTGCACCATCAGTATACTTACTATACTCTATAATAAGCTGAGTTACTAACAGCAAGTAATACATTACAATTTTACCTCGTAAAAATTCTATAATATGCTTCCATCTAAACCTTATTCTCTTACATCACACGAGCATATACCGTACTATATACTGCCATAGATAAACCCAACATTAAATTATATACTGTATTGCTGTAAACCAACCTATATCTTATACATTTAATATCACACTATGTATTATTCTACACACCCTAATGTGTATCGAAATGGTTTATTACGTCCTTCCAATGATTGCTGAGCCAGAATCCATCTTCTCGGTTAAAGTTGTCTCTGTGTTTGTATATGTGGATCGCCTCATGAACGAATCTCTCATGATAGCCAGATGGCTTGCAGAGAACCTCTGTCTTGGAGAAGTCAATATCATGTGAGCCCACTGAGTTGTAACAGTGATCTGCCACGGCTGAGGTGTTAGTCCTACCGTGTTTCAGGTCAGCTTTATGTTCACGGATGCGGTCCGAGACATGTCGTTTGGTTTCCCCAATGTAACTGCTACCACAGAGGCAACTTAGTTTGTAGACGCCAGGGTACTGTATGTCTGGAACCACATCTTTTACAGACGGTACCAGATCACGGATTTTATGTACTGTGTTGAATCGGACCTGGATCTTGTGTTTAATCAGGATTTTGGAGATCTTTTTTGTGACCCCAGCAATGTAGGGTAAGGTGATGGTCTTGAAAGGCTCCTCAACAGGATCCTTCTTGATGGTTGGAGTGATGGCTTTGCGGATTGTATAGTCGGAGTAACCATTTGCCTTAAGAGCTTGGCGTACGTGTTTGAGTTCACTGGAAATGTGTTCATGGTCGGAGATGCATTGGGCTCTATGATATAGAGTCTTGATGAGGGAATTCTTCTGAGATGGATGGTGGTGGGAATCCGGTTTTAGATAAGCATCCGTGTGGGTGGCTTTCCTGTAGACAGAGTGGCTCATTGAACCATCAGGTCTCCTTTTGATTAGGACATCCAAAAAGGGTAGCTTGCCATCATTTTCGACTTCCATGGTGAATCTGATGGCTGGGTGTATGGAATTGATGTGGTCGAGAAATTGGTCTAGAGCAGGCCGGCCATGTGGCCAGATGACAAAAGTGTCGTCTACGTACCTCTTCCATAAGGTCGGGCGTAGAGTGGCAGTCTGGATGGCGTCCGTCTCAAATTTCTCCATGAAGATGTTGGCTACAACCGGAGATAGGGGGGAGCCCATTGGGGTGCCCTCAATTTGCTTGTAGAAGGTTCCATTCCAGGTAAAGTATGTATTGGTTAAGCAGTGTCTCACCAGGGGGGGTACCCCAGCATTCAGTCCTTGATGAACCAAGTCTTCAATGATTGCGATGGTGTCAGGCACAGGTACCTTGGTGAACAAGGAAACCACATCAAAACTGACAAGCAGGTCGTCTGGGGACAGGGCAATCCCCTTGATTGTCGATACCAGGTCAGTAGAGTTTAGTACTGCAGAGGTGGTTTTTCCAGTGAAAGGCCGTAGGATTTCGGACAAAAAACGAGCCAGTTTGTAAGTGGGGGAGTTGATAGTAGAGACAATGGGACGAAGAGGTGTATCTTCTTTATGTATCTTTGGCAAGCCGTACAATCTTGGTGGTCTGGCTGCAGAAGGTTTCAACGAGAACTGTTTGGTCTGATCAATTAATGCGGTTGAAGCAGAAATGATGTTGTTGGTTTTGGAGACGAGGCTGTTGGTGGGGTCTCTTTTTATTTTTGTATAGCTGCCATCGTTTAGTAGTTCTTGAATTTTGTTGTTGTATTCTATTTTGTCCATGATGACAGTGGCATTGCCTTTGTCGGCTGAGAGGATGACAATGTCATCCCTCTTTTTTAATTGAGCTAATTCAAAACGCTCCTCTTTGCTGATGTTGCTAGCTGGCATCTTAGCGTTTTTGAGGGTTACAGAGATTTCGGATCTTGCTACGTCTGCAGCGATGTGACTCAAGCCCTTGAGAGCTACATCTACTCGAGCAAGGGCTTGAGTCACATCGCTGCAGACGTAGCAAGATCCGAAATCTCTGTAACCCTCAAAAACGCTAAGATGCCAGCTAGCAACATCAGCAAAGAGGAGCGTTTTGAATTAGCTCAATTAAAAAAGAGGGATGACATTGTCATCCTCTCAGCCGACAAAGGCAATGCCACTGTCATCATGGACAAAATAGAATACAACAACAAAATTCAAGAACTACTAAACGATGGCAGCTATACAAAAATAAAAAGAGACCCCACCAACAGCCTCGTCTCCAAAACCAACAACATCATTTCTGCTTCAACCGCATTAATTGATCAGACCAAACAGTTCTCGTTGAAACCTTCTGCAGCCAGACCACCAAGATTGTACGGCTTGCCAAAGATACATAAAGAAGATACACCTCTTCGTCCCATTGTCTCTACTATCAACTCCCCCACTTACAAACTGGCTCGTTTTTTGTCCGAAATCCTACGGCCTTTCACTGGAAAAACCACCTCTGCAGTACTAAACTCTACTGACCTGGTATCGACAATCAAGGGGATTGCCCTGTCCCCAGACGACCTGCTTGTCAGTTTTGATGTGGTTTCCTTGTTCACCAAGGTACCTGTGCCTGACACCATCGCAATCATTGAAGACTTGGTTCATCAAGGACTGAATGCTGGGGTACCCCCCCTGGTGAGACACTGCTTAACCAATACATACTTTACCTGGAATGGAACCTTCTACAAGCAAATTGAGGGCACCCCAATGGGCTCCCCCCTATCTCCGGTTGTAGCCAACATCTTCATGGAGAAATTGAGACGGACGCCATCCAGACTGCCACTCTACGCCCGACCTTATGGAAGAGGTACGTAGACGACACTTTTGTCATCTGGCCACATGGCCGGCCTGCTCTAGACCAATTTCTCGACCACATCAATTCCATACACCCAGCCATCAGATTCACCATGGAAGTCGAAAATGATGGCAAGCTACCCTTTTTGGATGTCCTAATCAAAAGGAGACCTGATGGTTCAATGAGCCACTCTGTCTACAGGAAAGCCACCCACACGGATGCTTATCTAAAACCGGATTCCCACCACCATCCATCTCAGAAGAATTCCCTCATCAAGACTCTATATCATAGAGCCCAATGCATCTCCGACCATGAACACATTTCCAGTGAACTCAAACACGTACGCCAAGCTCTTAAGGCAAATGGTTACTCCGACTATACAATCCGCAAAGCCATCACTCCAACCATCAAGAAGGATCCTGTTGAGGAGCCTTTCAAGACCATCACCTTACCCTACATTGCTGGGGTCACAAAAAAGATCTCCAAAATCCTGATTAAACACAAGATCCAGGTCCGATTCAACACAGTACATAAAATCCGTGATCTGGTACCGTCTGTAAAAGATGTGGTTCCAGACATACAGTACCCTGGCGTCTACAAACTAAGTTGCCTCTGTGGTAGCAGTTACATTGGGGAAACCAAACGACATGTCTCGGACCGCATCCGTGAACATAAAGCTGACCTGAAACACGGTAGGACTAACACCTCAGCCGTGGCAGATCACTGTTACAACTCAGTGGGCTCACATGATATTGACTTCTCCAAGACAGAGGTTCTCTGCAAGCCATCTGGCTATCATGAGAGATTCGTTCATGAGGCGATCCACATATACAAACACAGAGACAACTTTAACCGAGAAGATGGATTCTGGCTCAGCAATCATTGGAAGGACGTAATAAACCATTTCGATACACATTAGGGTGTGTAGAATAATACATAGTGTGATATTAAATGTATAAGATATAGGTTGGTTTACAGCAATACAGTATATAATTTAATGTTGGGTTTATCTATGGCAGTATATAGTACGGTATATGCTCGTGTGATGTAAGAGAATAAGGTTTAGATGGAAGCATATTATAGAATTTTTACGAGGTAAAATTGTAATGTATTACTTGCTGTTAGTAACTCAGCTTATTATAGAGTATAGTAAGTATACTGATGGTGCGATGCAGTTTATACTTTAGTTTTTTTATGTAGTTTATACTTTAGTTTTCTACGTGGTTGTTGAGTAACTGCAGCTACATATCATTAACATTCCTTCCTTTGTTACTGCTAATCCCTGCACCCCCCTTGGTTGCTGCTGATCCTGCATAATGCATGGGCATAATATGACTTTGACACCCCCCCGCCCAACGCCTACGCATTTTCCATGAATATGCTAAATCCCTCTTCACATGCACATTCTTTTTGTTAAGGCGCTCTTCAACCCCCAATGCAGCTTATATATAAGCTCCTAGTTTGGTAGTGTCTCATTCTTCACCTGAAGACGGCTGCTTGCGTTGTAGCCGAAACGTCGTGAGAATTGTTTTATTATGTTTTATTTTTATTATTTTATTACTTCCCTTCTACGTGACTTTACCGAAAGAAACAAGAAAATGACCCCATTGTTCATGAAACAAGAACCAGAAGACAATCGCAGCCTGGACACTTTGAAAGGTATCAAGGTGAAATATGAAGAGGCGAAAGTGAAATGTGAAGAAGTAACAGTGACGAGCGTAGAAGTGAAGGTTAAATTTGAAGATTATTCAACTCCAAAATCGGACCTTCACATAGATGGAGGCAGTGTGAAACAGGAACTAAATTCTGACTGTGAGGCAGAGCGAGGCAACTCCCAGGAGTTTGTGGATGTGGAGGTGTGGGTGGACTTCTTAGACAATACAAAGTCAAATGGAGAC